TTCCTTGATTGCCTTTGTCACTCTGTCACTTCTATAGCAATCAAGTGCTATTGTAAGGGTACAAAGTTCTTTTATTTTGATATCTTTAGATGTGTATCTTTTACTTTTTTAAATTAAATGTATTTGGGTGACACCGGTTAGTAAAATTATGTAGGTTTCAAGTGTACAGTTCTATAATACATCATCTATATATTGCATGTGTGTTCACCACACAAAGGCACCTATCTTTGCAGCTTTCTCACTTCCATTTATAATTAGTTAGGCAAGGTTTGTCAGATCATCAAGGAAGTCTTTCAAGTTAAAGGAAAGCAAGTTTCCTTTGGGGGAGGGGATAGACATGAGTCTCTCCACCCCATAGTTTCCATTCTTTCTTCTTTAGTTATACAAACATGGAATTGTAAATCAGAAGGAAGCTATTTAGCCCACACATGTGCTCCAAGCAAGCACTATAATTAAGTCAGATAAAACTAATGCAGTTGTATTAGTAAGGGTTTTTTTGGTTATAATTACAGTGACTTCCTGGAGGCAGCTTTAGAAAAAAAAAAAAGGCTGAGTTGAGGGCAAAATTTAGTATCATTTTAAGTGGCATCATCTATTGTATAGGCACCAGAAAAAAATAAGGGTTTGTTATTTAAGAAATGTCATTACCCAGAAAAAGTCAAGAACCATATGATTTCACTAATATGTGGCATATAAACTTGAAAACAACAAAGGAACAAGACAAACAAATGAAGAAACAAAAACTCATAGACACAGTGCCGGCCGAGTGGTGCGGTGGTTAAGAGCTGGCTTGGGACGGCAGAGAGTCCCGGTTCGGATCCCACATATGAGGGCCAGTGGCACTGCCCTCTACAGCTCAGATGCTGAACAACAGCTCAACCTGGAGCTGAGCTGCCATGAGTCACTGGCTACTGCGTAGGCTGCAGCCCCTGCTGCAGTGGGTTGCCATGAGCTACCGTGTGTAGCCAGCAGCCAGCGTGAGCAGCCAGGAGCCTCTGTGAGCAGCTGTCCAGAAGCCGGTGACTGATCTGCCTCGCCCAGGAAGAGCGCAGTGAAGGTGCCAACTTGGGCCAGTGAGGCAACATCCTCCACAACTAGACTGAAGAACAAAAAGACAGCAACTTGTCTGTTCCCCTTCCCCCAATTCCCCAGCACTGTTCCAATTCCCTAATAAAAATCTTTAAAAAAACCCCTCATAGACACAGACAATAGTTTAGTGGTTCCCAGAGGATAAGAGGGGAGGGGGTTGTAGATGAGGGTAAAAGGGATCAAATATACGGTGATGGAAGGAGAACTGACTCTGGGCAGTGAGCACACAATGTGATATATAAATGACATGTTACAGAATTGTACACTTGAAACCTATGTAACTTTACTAACCTTTGTCACCCCAATAAACTTTAATTAAAAAACAAAGTAATGTCATTACCATTTACCATCAACTGAAAGGTAAGAAAATAAGGACTAAAAAAAGTTAACTGAGTCAGGGTAAGAAAAGATGTAAAAGTCCCTTGGTGTAGTCAGGGAAGATTTTTTCATAACATTTATTGTGTTTGTCTCATATATATAGAACATATTTATTATATGAAATTTTTAACTAGAGAAAAGTATAAAGAAGAAAATAATGTTCCTCCCCCATCTCCACCTCAAAATAACCACTATTTATATTTTGGTATTTAATGAATATACAGTATATATAAACTAAGATCATATTATAATACTATTTGTATTCAGCTTTCCTCCTTTAATAAAAGCTTTGTCCCATGCCTTTAAATGCACTTTAAAAACATGACTTTATAATGATTTCATCTTATCACCAAAAAAAAAATTTGTAGTTACTGATGGTTGGAATTCTCTCTAAAACTAACCACATACCTGTGTAAGGAAAAACGCCAGTCAACAAGCCCTGCTCATGCACACAGTTTTAATCAGCGTTTTAGTCCTTTATATATATTTTTAATTTTATTTGATTGTAGTAAGAACGCTTAACATGAGATCTAGCCTCATAGGAGCAAAGAATAGGATGGCGGTTGCCAGGGGCTTGGGTAACGGAGAATGGGGGAGTTGCTTATCAGTGGGTATAAAATTTCAGTTATGCAAGATGAATTAGCTCTAGAGAATCTGTTGTGCAACATTGTACCTATAGATAACAATATCGTATTGTACACTTAAAAATCTGTCCCTGACGCCTTTCCAGCTGCTGCCCAGCACTGGAGCTCAGAGCGATTGAGTCCCATCAGGGAGGAGGTTCATGTGTGGGCCCTTTAAGAAGAACGCCTAGTACTGCCGCCACCCTTGTCTCACTCAGCCACAATCTCTGCTGTTTTTTTTTTTTTCAAGATTTTTATTGGGCAATTGGGGGATGGGAACAGTGCTAGGGAATTGGGGGAAGGAGAACAGACAAGTTGCTGTCCTTTTGTTCTTCAGTCTAGTTGTGGAGGACGTTGCTTCACTGGCCCAAGTTGGCACCATCATTGCACTCTTCCCAGGTGAGGCAGATCAGCCGCCGGCTTCTGGACAACCGCTCACCGCGGCTGCTGGCCGCTCACGCTGGCTGCTGGCTACATACGGTAGCCCATGGCAAGCCACTGTCACAGGGGCTGCAGCCTACGCCGTCGCCGGCGACTCATGGCAGCCCAGCTCCAGGTTGAGCTGTTGTTCAGCATCTTAGCTGTAGAGGGCAGTGTCACTGGCCCTCATATGTGGGATCTGAACCGGGGCCCTCTGGCGTCCCAAGCCAGTTCTTAACCATCGCGCCACTTGGCCGACCCTCTGCTGGTTTTCACAGCCAGAAATTATGGGGACCTCTCTCCCTGGCACTAGAAACCTGGGCTGGGGAGCTTAGTGTGGGGCTGGGACCCCTTGTTCTTCCAGGGAGAACTCCACAGCTGAGATATCCTTTCTGATTTTTAATGGTCATATGCGGGTGTGGGACCAGCCAATTCTATGTCTCTGCCCCTCCAACCAGTCTCAAGGTGGCTTCTTCTGTATGCCCTTAGTTGTAGGGCTTTGGTTCAGCTAGACTTCAAGTGATTCTCAGTGACAGTTTAGTTGTAATTTTGAGGTGGTTGTAAGAGCAGCTAAGTACAACGTTTACCTACTCCGCCATCTTGACCAGAAATCTGTGATAGTAATTTTATTTTAAAATGACCTCCTCATTATATAATTTCTATTACTATAAATATTCTAGTTGTAAGACAAAGAATAGGTTAATAAGATAAACTAAGGGCTATATTTCTTTAAAAGTAAGACTGAAAAATTATCTTTTCAGAAAAATTGTGTCCCATCTCATGTAGTTAAATAGTTTTTCTAGTCATTTTGACTTTTTGTTTTCTACTTCTAATCTTTTCATCTGCGTGGCTCACAGATACTTTTGCCATGACTATTTTGCCAAATTAGGGAGTGGGGTGCAAGCCCTATGGCACCAGCTTGTTTAGTATGTCATCTCTGGCATAAAGGGAGGAAACTGACGGATTCCAGGGCCAGGAGCATATAAAATGAAGAATGAAAGTGAGCAAGTTGCAAACATCTTTAGAAAAAAAGCAGTTTTGTTTTATTCTGCACCTCAGAAGGAATGCTTCTATTGTATTTCATCAAGTATGAAAATGGCTGTTGGTTTAAGATTGCTATAGATTATTATCATTTTTAAGAAGTGTTCTTATAATCCTGGCATTCAAAGAGTTTTTATTTTTAAAATGCCTAATAAATTAAAAACAGAAAACAAATGCATCATATTATATAGTAATTTTTAAAATTACCCTCAACATTTGGCATTTAGATGGTTTCAGTTATTCATTATTATAAATAATCCTGGCATGAAAAACCGTGTACATGAATCCAGTTAGGAAGATATGCGGTGGGGCAATGAAGAACATAATTTAACCGCAAAAGAAATCAGGACCCCAAAGCAGAATAAGGACAGATACCCTAGAAAGGAAACAGTGCCATGAAATCAGTCCTAGGTGGTGTTAGTGCTGCTTAGGCAGGAAGAGGCTGTTGTGGCACACTCAGCCCAGGCAGCAAGGCTGAGGATAAAGTGGGGGAAGGGGTCGGGGAGCTTGTTTACAGGGCAGGAGTAAAGTGGAAGTGAGGAAGGACATCCCTGAGCATGTTTGTAAAGTCACACTGGGAGCTCAAGTGCAAACAGGATATCATTTCTAAGGGATGAGTAAGAATCCATACTTCCCACCCACAGCGCTTTCTCTGTGGAATCCTAACATACACACAAAGAAGTTGATGGTAAGAATTTTTAGAAGGTTGAGATTTTAGATTTGTAAGAATAGTAACTGGTTTACCCCCAACCCCAGGTGGGCTTTGGTGTTTATGTCTTAACTAATTTAAGATGTAATCTCTCCAGTTTTAGCCACTGGCCTGACCACTGCGACTGAAGTAGCCAGTGATGAGAGAGTTCCATAAACATGGTGGTGTCGGGTCTGGCTTACATGTAGTGTGTATTAACCAAATGGAAATTTTTATATTAAATCTGGAAAAGTTTGGATCTTGACTCAAGAGATTATTGACTGTTTCACAGTGTAAATATTTTTAAGTAGGGAAGGGACATACCCAGTCAGCAGATCTGTGTTTACCTGACTTGATTTATTATATTAAAACCGAGAAATGAACTTGAAAACCATAGACTGGAGGAATTTTTAAGGTGATCTTAGCCTTAAGAGGAAGGAGAATGAAAGACGTGTAACCAGAATACTAGGGAAAATAATTTTTTTTAAGTGGACAGGGGTAAGTAAATCACAACAGTTATACATAAATTAAAAAACTCTAAAAAACCCAAATGTCCAAAAAAATAGAGTAATGAATTAAAAAATTTAGTACAAACATATATAGACTTTATAATGTAAATTATTTCAAGTTATATTGTAATTAATGAAAAATTATATAATGTTATGTTAACAGAGATAACAAATACAGATACTATACAATGTGATTTCAATCATGTAAAGTAAAACATGCATAGAAAAAAAATATATATATCAACATGCTATCAGTGGTTTTTTCTGGGAATTGAAATACAGATGACTTTTTTCTTTATTTTCCAATTTTTCTACTGCACATATATTACTTTTGACAACTGGAGTGGGGGGTAGGTTGGTTTTTTCCTCCTTTTTTTAACCTCTTTTTAACCTAGTAGTATTAGCAAAATTCTTTTTTTTTTTTTTAAGATTTCTCCATAAATTTCCTGGTTGCTTACTATTTAGTGGACAAATTCTAGAAAAATGATGAGCTCTATCAAGGCTAGCATGAAAACGGTTGTCTCTGAGTCAGAGACTTTTCATCTATGTCATTCATTTACTAACCTGTACCTATACATGGATTTACTTCTGTTTTGTTTTGTTTTGAATGGATGAACATGATACCCTAGTAAAAGGTTAAGGTTTACAATGTTTACCTTGAAGTAAAGACTCAATAAACATGCCTTTGTTTTATCATGTTTTACATATTTAATAAAATAATCTGAATTAGAAGCCCAATGTATTCCAACTGTGACAATTACATATAAGTTTAATAGTTTCCTTCATTGTTTCCAGGTTCTTTGCAAATGTTACCAGTAGTCTGTCATTACTGTGGATTAATTTATAGATAGGAATTAATAATAGAAATTATAGATTAATATATATTTTTTTAAACAAATCTTAAACTGTGCAACAAGCTTGGGTTTCTTTGTTTCTTCTCTGTTCTTTAGACATCAGGAGAAGGAGACTTCTTCTCAACAGCAAAAAATGTATTCTTCTTATCCTAGTGTAAAGAAATATGTGAACAAGTAAGTAACTTTTTACTCCAGGGAAGTGCTCTTTAATCCCAACCCCAATTTAATCTAAATTTGATTTAATGTTCCCAACGGTACTTCATTTAGTAGAGCAAAACGTAAAAGCCACACCCACGTGACCTAAGTAGCTGAGAAACCACTCCTCAGCCTTCTAGGTGCTCATGACTCAGAGTATAGTGTCTGGACAAGCAGCATTCACATCCCCTGGGAGCTCATTAGAAATGAAGAATCTCAGACCCCACCCCAGATCCACTGTATCAGAAGCTGAATTTTAATAAGATACCCATGTAACTTGCAGGCACGTTAAAGCTTGAAAAGCACTGGGCTAGACAACTTTTTGTTGTTGTTGTTGTTCTATGCTGTAGAATAAGAATGAAATTGATAAACGTAAATGAATAAAACTTGTTAATGTGACAGAAGTGAAACTTCTGTTCACAGTCTCTACCAGAAATGTGTCTTAGAACTACCATTCGGTGAGCATGGAGCTAAATTTAAATTTAAATGACGCATATTAAGCGTTGGAAAAGTCTATAATGATCGTGTTGTTCATGGGAAAGAGGAGAGAAGTACAAGGGAATAAGAAAAAAGATGACAGTGAGGATTGACTGAAACTTTTCATGATTCACTAAAGTCAATAGATTCCCTTGCTTCTCCCTGTATTGTTTGTATTCTGTTTAATTTAGCCATCTCAAGTAAGGAAAACCATATGTTTTTTGTGAAGCTAACTGTGTGCCAGAAAGTCTTACATAGATAAATATGTGAGTTAGCAGCGAGAATATTCTGAACGTGTAGTATGCATTCAACATATGCTTCCAGGTTCATCGTTCGCTGGTTATTCTCATGACCAAAAGTGATTGAGCATCCCCATGCTAAGTTCTAGAGACACAGTGGTGAGTGAAAGAGGCATGGTTCCTGTGTTCATGGAGCTTCTGATAGTGTATGAATTACTACTGGTCAATTTTTGAAAATTATCTGTGGATTTTGTTCATCTATGGTATTTGTGTGCCTTGCATCTATTTTTTCTCATTGATAAGTGAGAAATGTCTAATTCTTAGTTATCAGTCTGATTCATATAGATCGATCAGTTGTAATTTGTATAGCAGAGAATAGCACCAGTTTATATGGCAAACTGCAGCTGGCAACTTTCAGAAATGAAGCTAAAATATATAAGAATAAAAGTTACGTATTATAACATGATCACTACAAGGGCTCAACATGGGTGGGAGAGAGAGGGCTGGGGGCTGCTAGGAAGATGATGTGGATGAGTAACAATGAGCAGAAGCCATGAGCAAGTGTCTCCTAAATTGTATGGATGGAAGTAATGCAATTATGGTCAAAATGAAATACATAATTTTATCATATGTCCCCAATTGATGAATTGGGTAATCTATTAGACTTCCATGTCTTCAAATGAAGGTAATTTGTTCTTCAACCCAGTCTTATAATACGGCATTTAGAAAATGATTCATCTTTAAAATAAATTGCTTTGTGAGTTTCCTTGGACTGATGGATTTACCCACTGTAATTGGGACCTGACAAATTGGGTGGAAAGTTGAAATAAACAGCCCCCATTGGGCAAGTGGCCCAGACTTGGGTTGAATCAACCATTACTTTAGGACACGGAAATCTTTGTGGATTTTAAGTGTAGTTGCCTCCCAGGTTCCTAACCCTGCATTCCCAGAGCCCTGGCATATGTGCCTTTTTAACCACCACCCATGACTGGTTCCATCCTTGTTGTCCAGTGACTAGATTTTCTGCCATGATGGCCCAGAGGTTAAGAGCATAGTCTCAGAAGTCAGATGGACACAAGTCTGTAGTCTGACCTTACTACCTCCTAGACATAGGATCTTGGGTAATGTAATGTCTCTATGCCTCAGTTTTTTTCACCTGGAAAATGGAGATTAAAAATCTTATGTGATCGTGTGGATTACATAACTATATAAGACACTTACTGCCATGCCTGGCACATGGTAAATAGTAGCTACTACTACTTTATTATTATGAAATCCAGGTCTCCATACTGGTTCCTTTCTGCTGCATGAACCCCCTTTAGTAACAAGTGCTTTTGTTTGTTTGTTTGCTCTGTGCCTCAGTCTCTTAGTGGTTATGTTTTCTCCCTACTGACTTCATATTCTCAAGGCTGTCTCCTTAGGGACCCTCTTCCTTTGTGACACTTTTGCTGAGCTCTCACTCCACTCCAGGTTCAACAGGCACGCAGCTCCTGGCCACTGCTTGTCACATGGAGGCAGCAGAGCCGAGGGGTGAAAAGCCACTGGAGACTGGCTGCCTGAGTTCAAATCTCAGCATGTCCACTTACTAGCTGAGTGCTGGGTAAATTATTTAACCTTTCCATGCCTCATTTTCCTCAATTGTAAAATGAATTGCACCTGTTTCATGTGATAATTGTAAAGATTAAATAGATTATTATATATGAAGAATCTAGCATAATAAGTGCTACATAGCATTTGCTATTGTCATACCTTAGGTAACCCCAAGCTTGGTGCTTTCCCACTTCTCTCTTCTCACTCTGGGGTAACCTCCCCATTGTAGAGCTAGTTTGAGGATTTGTATACTCCATTTTATGTCCCTAGACTATCTGGACACTGTCTATGCTTCCATGTCAAGACCCCTGACTACTCTACATCCTGCCACAAACATTCCTGGCAGACACTGTCTATGACAGTGAAGAATGAGTAATATTTTCTTCCAAACTTTATGTCTGTGAGGAACAGAACACTGGGCCCAACCTGATGGCCTCTTAGTATAAAATAGAGTGAAATTAAGGGAACCAAGCAAAGCAGTTGCCTTATTCTTCCTTAATTCCCTCATCTCCCTGTCCCTATTTCCACTGGTCAACAAAGATCACCCATCTGGAAGAAAGGATGGTGCAAGGTTCCTCCATGCTGAAGCTAACTGTGTGCCAGAAAGTCTTACATAGATAAAAAGCAAAGGAAAGGGTCATAATTCAGCATATGAATTTCTCTCGTGTCCATGGGATAAATTGGTTAGCTGAACTGTTATTGTTTCACAGTGAGGCAATGTGGCTAACCTAAAAGTAACCTAAGAGAAGCAAGTCAACACAAGATTGAATTTTGATTGAGAACTTTGAATAAAGCTCTCACTGTAAACTGTTGAACATCCTCAGGGGCTTTGAGGGAAGTCAAGGATATTGGGGTCTTACTTCTCAGCCCTCCATGCCTCGAATAGTACTTGACTTGTGGCAATAAGGTGTTTCTGCTCAGCAGTCCTGGCTTCAACCCTTCCACGGGGAGATTCCTTTTTATGCTCCAAATTCCTTCCAGGGCCACTGTTAATATTTTTCAAAAGTAAGATGAGAATTATTAGCTTATTCTATTTTTACCATGAGGTATTTTTATTTACTTGATTATTTTTTTCAGTCATTTGGATGGAGGTTTATTTGGTTTGAATAATCAAACCACCCTAGGTTATTTATTATTTGTTTAATCTTTTATTTTAGTTCATTCATTCAATTATCCCCTATGCAATTAAACTTCTACAGTGCTTAATTATATCATTTAATTTGCCCCTAAATAAGCAGATGAAAAGCCAATATAGAAATATAAATAAAAAAACACAAAAAGAGTAAGAATGAATAACAGTTAATATATAGACCTCATTCAGTCAACCTTGTCTGATCCCGATTTAATTCCTAGAGAGCAAATATTTTGAAAGATAATATAACCAAAGTAACCACATTAGTTTATCCAATAGAAACAACACTCTTTTAAAAGCCATGAACTAGAGATGTTGTTTAATCTCCCCTTGCAAGAAACAATAAACTCACTGGAAAACACCATGACAAAATATTTGGAATGTGATGTCTGTTCATTTGACCAAGGCAAATTATAGTCTTAAATCCTGATGCCATTCAGTAAGTATTGATTTAGTAATAATTTCTTTTGGGCTTTGCTCCATATCCTATAGCGAATTACTTAGGTTTTCAGAGTCAGTCAACATGCATTTGGTGAAAACCTACTTTATAGAAAACTGTGACCCAAGTCAAGCAAGGTAGTGAATTCAGGTTAGTGCCGTAAGTTTTTTTTTCCCATTTCTAAAACTGCAGCATTCAATGCCAAATACTGTCCACAGATCTAGGTTGCCCACGGCATTCCCACTGACATTTGATCCCTCCCTAAAAGATTCTGTACCATGTAATGATTAGGGGCACGGCCTCTAAGTTCAGAGGCGATCTGGATTTTAGCCTTTGCTCCACCATCTACCACCTGTATGATTTGGGGCAAGTTATTTAACCCACTATGTCTCAGTTTCCTCATCTTTGAAATGGGGATGATAATATCTACCTTGGATTGTTATAGGATTTGGATGAAATGGATAAAAAGTGCTTTGCACTCAGTAAGTAGTAGCTATTACTCTTACGGGGACAACGATTTTCCTGTCTAAGCATAGACTCAGATTCCATTTCTAGAGGCACAGTCACTGTGCTGACTCACTGAGCTGAATGTCAATACTTGCCTCTCTTTCCCCCTCCTGAATGGAGGAGCTGAAGCTATCTGTCAAGATTAGTTTCTTCCCTCTTCTTCAAAGACCTTCAAGGAATATTCTACAATCTCCTTCTGTCAAGACTTACAACGTTGAAGCTGTTCCTTATATCTAACCTAAATCTTCCCCCACCATTCAAACTAGTTTCCTCTTCTTCTAGCCCATCTAGAGACAGAAAAGGGCTGCTCTCCAGCCTCTGGGTGATAGACTCTCAGGTATTTAGGAGTCTACACATGCTTATTAAATACCACCTGTACACAACACCCTGTAAGAGACCAAGGAAATGGATTTTGATTTGTTCTAAACTGTGGGAAGTTCTGGTAAATAGAAAACAATTTAAAATTAGGAGGCAGAACTACGTAATACAACCACATCAAATTAGAAGAATTGTACTAGTCTAATTTAGTTGTGCTCTTTCAGACGCAATCACAGGCATAGCTGCAAGTTTATAACTTAATAGGGAAAATACCTGAAATGTAAATGCAGGTGCTCAGAAACGCATTTTAAAAAAGCTCAAAAAAGCAAAACATAGCAATGCATAACTTTTTACTATACTCAGGTATAGAGGGTGCTGGAAAAAAACAGCACTACTTTGATCTGATATGACGTATGGGTGAAGAAGTTACGAAAGGTGATGTATTTAACTGGAGAAAAAGAGATTTGGAAAGAAGCGTGGATGCCCTCTGAAGCCAATGCTTCTTTAAAGAGAAACCCAACTCCCTCAGCTCTGGCCATGCGTATTCCAAGGGGGAGAAAGGAAGACAAAGTGGGGAGCAGGGCCAGGGACACCCCAGTGTTAGTACATTTAACCGGAAAAGGGCAGCAGGCACAAGAGAAAAGCTAAGAGAAAAAGAACTAAATCCTTTCTGGAAGCTTAGAATCTTCTAGAGAGTCTTCTTCTTTCTTCCCTTCTCATGCCCCCAACCCTTTCTACTCAGAGACCTTTTTAGGTGTGTTTGTATCCTGAATTTTGAAGTTACTAAACCATACTTTTATGCCGGAAAGTTTAGCCACTGGGACCTGGCCTGGTCTTTCAGGGAGGGTAAGCTTGCCCTTTAAAAATATTTTTGTTCCCCTCAGCTGTCTCTGGACTCTGAATAATGAACATTAGAGCTTGAAAAGCCAGTTTAGAGCCATGCAGTCTATGCCTCCTTTGTGCAAACATGGTCAGAGATTTGACCAGAGGAAGAAAAATTTAAGTAATTTAAATTTATGTTTGGTGACTTCTAGGCTCTGTAATTATCTTGATATGCCTTTGGTGTCTAGTAAATTCCTTGGATATTGTAGGTACACAAAAAAATTTTGTTGAATGAATTAATGAATAACAAACATATCTATACTTACTGAGCAACATTTTACGTTTTCTGAGTTGGTACTACACATAATAAATAAACCAGACTCAAAATTAAGTTTGTGCATTAAGGCACATATTGACACAAATTGATGGATTTGACAGGACACTATTGAAAGTCTTTGGGGAAGGAAATGTTGTATGAAGAAAAACTAGGAAGCTTCATTAATCAAATTTTTCATGACTACTTAACCTCTGCAGGTTTTAGCCAGAAAAATACAAAAGCTCTTGCAATTTGAAAACATTAAATTGGAACATCAATTTATGTCTGCAAAGTTCTCTACAGAAGTTCTTAGGACTGCAGAAATAGTTTTAAGATAAATGGTAAAACTGAATGGTGTCGTTCTATAATGTTTGTCTCACAAGCTTACCTCTTCTTTTAAAAAGTTGTAAGAAGGGGAAAATCGTTAGGGACTCACTAAGAATATGTGAATGATGATGCTCGCTAAATTCTTACTTATCCAGAAAGTTCCCTAAGTTGCCCCAAATTTCATTTTCATCTGACAGAAGATCTGATTAGAAAATTGCATTTCTTTTCTTCAGGGTGATGAGAATCTTTCATGTAGATCCTGGCTCCTGTCCTTATCTGACAGGAATGTGTAATGCCTCTGATAGCTCTGTTCTACCTCAAGTTTGAATCTAAACTGAACCTGAAACCAGAGAAAACTGTGTCAGCATTTAAAAAAAATTTTTTTTAATGAAGAGAGTACTATTTGCTACCAATACAATTCCAAACCTTTTTCCTCTCACAAAACATAATCTTATGTTTTAAAGAGAGACAGTATAACCCAATGGCTGACAACAAGGACATCAGCTTCTGACAAGCCTGCATTCAAATATTAATATGAGATGTTTCACTGTGTGACGATGGGCAAGTCGCTATACCTCCCTGAGCCTCAGCTTCCAGATCTGCAAAAATAATGAGTACAGCATTGTTGCAGGAACTAAGAGAGATACTTTGTAAAAACTCTCATATCCAGAAGACACACTGTGAATGGTAGCCATTATAGTAATTATTATTATTCCCATCATCGCCATCATTTATATGTACTATATAGACACCCTTTACCCACCCCACCCCTTACCCCAGCATCCGATGCTTCTTACTGAGCCCACATCACAAGCCTGAAAGAAATCAAAAGCCCAGAGAAGAAAGGACCTAGAGGCCTGGCAGCCCATTTTTTCTGTGGTCACTGATGCCATTCCGTACATCCATGTATGGGGTGCACAGTAGCAACTACCTAGGACATCTTGGCCATTTCAGTGTCTTCATGGCTCTTATTAACTGTTGTCACAACATGACCACAAGAACAGAGGCGATAGCTCATTTAGCTGAGGGCCCCACAAGACTGAACAGCTGAACAGCTTTTTCCTGAGTCCCCTGTTGCTACCCAAACAACAATATTTCGAAAAGAAATGTAATGTTCACTCTGTTAGACACCCATAAACCCTAACTTCTGGATCTTTTGATCTTTTACCAATTTCATTCAACCAAAGGAAAAGGAAAACAGCACAGAAATAATTTAAATCCACTTGTTTCTGGACACTTCCATAATTTTCATCATTAGCTCAGCAACAAATAAACATACTATAATTTAAGTTGCTTAACTTCAGGATGAATCCCCTTCTTAATATTACAGGTGGTATAAGCTCTTCAGTAAGTTCAACCACATGTATTTTGCTGTATGGTCATGGTTTGGTGTTTTTATCAATGGTTGAGGGGAAGTCCAGTCTGGATACTTTTTCAAACCTCACCTTCACCAATCATATTGTTGTGAAAGCACGTGGATTTGATTGTTTGAAAATTCAAACAAACCCAACCAATGCATCCATAGCTGCACAAATACTCTTGGATACATGCATATAACTTTGGGTCCCTAGAATTTAGATAGACTTGGGTATATCTAAGAAATCATGCTTTTTCACATTGGATTTGCCACCAGAACACAGGTGTAGTGAAAACTACTGCTAAATCTAACCCAAATGGGAAAGGAAAAAACACATATTACCATCGATGTCATTGGACATGTAGACTCCAGCAAGTCTACCACTACTGGTCATCTGATCTACAAATGTGATGGCGTGGACAAAAGAACTATCGAAAAATTTGAGAAGGAGGCTGCTGAGATGGGAAACGGCACCTTCAAGTATGCCTGGGTTTTGGGTAAACTGAAAGCTAAGCGTGAGTGTGAGATCCCCATTGATACCTCCCTGTGGAAATTTGAGCTCAGCAAGTATTATGCGACCTTCATTGATGCCCCAGGACACAGAGACTTTATCAAAAACATGATGACAGGCACATCTCAGGCTGACGGTGCTGTCCTGATTTTTGCTGCTGGTGTTGGAGAATTTGAAGCAGGTGTCTCAAGAATGGGCAGACCCATGAGCATGGCCTTCTGACTTACATACTGGGTGTAAAACAACTAATTGTTGGT